CTACTGTATCATGCAAAATGTTACATTGAATAAAGTTACGGATATCGGCCGTAAAATGCATATTTTTCAATGACTTACCTGGAGAACATTGAGGTCAAGAAACTACAGGAATTTGAATATAGTTATTAGTAATATAAAACATATTTTTCAATTGGAAATAAAAACTCTATAATGGGGGCCAAACCTCCACGATTAAAATATGAAAGAACCAACTAAATCTAGCAGATATTATCTGGGATACAATTTTTCAAGAGACATTTGTTTCCACAAGATTCATTTGCCGTTGGATAAATTAAGTAGTTGCATTTTTGAAGCGAGCGAAAAACTCGCTAATTGAAGACTTGAAGCCTGACTCATTTCTTATACATATATCATAAAGTAGAATTTTTAATTTTCATCAACGTACTTGATATCGGCAACGAAATTTGGCGACTTGCGTTCAGTAACGTCACTACGAAAATGTAACTACAATGTAATCAAGAATAATTTTAGATTTCGATATCTTCTTATCGTCAAAATGAATTTGTGAGTCATTCATACGTCACTCAAAAATGGTTTCACGAACTACTTTCGCGCATTCTCCTAAGGAAAGTGTGATTTAGCAAGATTGAGTTGCACTCATAACTTTATAATTTAACGAAATAAAGTTCAGATTTGATAAGGCTTGAACGTGAGCATTAGTATAGCAACAATTTCACCTTGCCACGTGGCCAGTTGCACTGGTGCTCATTCATCGCCTGGCAATAATCCTCTGACGGTTCAGTTTTGAACTGCCAATCCAGGGGAGACAATTGCAGAATCGGAACCGATATAGGCACGTCGGAGATGTCCGGTTCATCCGGGCCAGCTTCCAGCAGGAGCACCGACCAATTGTCATTCTCCGTCAGCCGATGCGCCATCACTGATCCAGCCGATCCAGCTCCGATCACCACAAAATCATACTCGTCTTTTATATTGAACAGCGACACAGGTTTCACTCTGGATTTACGATCCACGATGTCCGGTCTGTATATTCCGATCAGCACTTGCAATAAAATTAGGAAACCCAATTCAGGGCCATAGGTAGCCGCTATCCTGAATGCTGTAACCCTACCAGCTGCTAACATCTCCATCTTGAATACTATTACGTGCAACTTGGTTTCATTGAAATTTGTAACGATCGAGGGACGATTGTTCGATCTGCCCGAATTTTTTATGTAGAAAATAAAAGCTTGATTTCAATAATAAAAAGCTTGCAACAAAAATCGGAATTTTATATAAATTCGGAATGCGTCAATAATGCACAACACAGACAATGCTTCGTCACTTTACGCACTGATTTTCACGAAGCGCATTGTGCCAAACTGGTCCGAACAAAAATGCGTCGGTGTACTGTTTTTTCTCTTCTGTGTCAGCTGTTTTGATTACATACATATTTATTTGCATCGTGTGCATTGTACGAATGCACGCTCCGCAGTCATCGTTGCAACGAACGCAAATTATTTGATACATTGAACGCATATATTGCATTTATGTAGAGATGAGTAGACTGGTCTAATCCTGGCATGTGAGTTGTTGCTCGTAGATTATTTTTGTACAGAGAATTTTAGTTTTTACGTTAGGTTAGAAATCTCTGGGAAGTAAGGAATTAGATTTAAGTTCGTATAGAGCAAGCGCGTATATGAAGCGTATAGAAAGCGCGTTCGTATGAAGAGCGCGAGTTTGTTATATTTTTGTGGCGGCTACCTCCAGACCCGCCAACAGATGGCTCCTCTTCCCGCAAGTAACCGATCCGCCTCAATTTGTATATACATATACAGACTTCGTCCTTCCTACCGATATCCCAACGTCAAAGGTAAGGGCCCGCTAGCATAGTGTGGCGTACGCCCGTACAAGCGGCACACAGCGCCACCTACAACTTAGTAACTAGCTGTTGCTACGCAAACCACTGGACTACATACAGTCTAATAGCAACCTCCCGAGAGTAAAGACGTACAGTCTAATAGCAACCTCCCAAGAGTGTAGACGCACAGTCTAATAGTAACCTCCCGAGAGTAAAGACGTACAAACAGTCTAAAGACGTACGCATAAAGTTAAATAAAACACGTTACAAGTTAGCCAAATTAACTGTTTCCTTTATTACCGAAAAGCCATCGTCCCCAGTTCTCAGAGAATCCAGTTTAAGAGAACATAATACCAAGCAAACCGCCACAATAGTCTTACTGATGAGTCCTCTAGCGGGTCCCGGACGAAACGTCTTCCCCTCTCCTTTTCTCCTTAACACGGTAGCACAACCACCGCCAAATCTTTAACAAAATATAATGTAAATTCCTAAATAGATATTTTTCCTTACGAGTCATTTAAATCGAAATTTTTACAGCCAATGGCTGTAAAATTAGGGGGTAGTTTATGCCATCAATTCCCATTTCTTTAACACTTAGCCGCCCGACCGATCGGGTAGATCTACCATTTTGACCTGAGGAACGCTTCTTTCTCTATAGAGCTTCTTATTTCTATAGAATACAACATATAATAAAATGCACACCATCACACCAACACCACACCCATTAGAAATCGAAATGCTACCTACACCCCAGTCTCACAACTTTTTCGGATATATAAGATTCCGCTCAACTTGCAAATATTAGTGTAGAAGCCAAGCTCCTTGCTGTGACTCTCAACAAGTGGTGTGAAACGAAGTATAGAAAAAATATCCCTAAAAATGTCCAGAAACATGAGTGACAATTCAAGTGATGAGTTGTTTATGGACACACTATCAGACTGTTCTGAAGACATTGATCTACTGATAAGTGATTGTGAAGTTGACGACAATAATAGCACCATCGTTCCCATATTTCAGACTAATCGACGAATCCTTTTGAGTGAATCGGAAGATGATTCCGCCGATGACTCGGAATCAAATATTATTGTCAATGGCGTCGATGTGTGTGTGTGTGTGTGTGATTGGACAGAAGATGATATTAGAGTTGAACTAGAAGCATATGGTCGAACTGCATGCATCAACACAATGCCTGAATATTACGAAAGCGAATGAGCAACCGTACAGTTGTTCCTTGGTGATGATCTGTTTGAATTGTTAGCAACGGAACAAATAGATATCGCGCTCAAGTTGCAAGCAAATATAAAGAATACAAAGCGGAAAAATGGGTTGACGTGACAATGAATGAGATGAAAAAGTTTCTGGGGTTGATTATCTTGATGGGACAAGTACGGAAAGACGATATATATGATTACTGGTCCACTATATCATATATAGAAACCCCGATCTTCTCCAAAACCATGAGTCGAAACAGATTCATGCAGATCTGGAGAATGTGGCATTTTTGTAATAATGATTTATTACGTGATAAATCGGATAAGTTATTCAAAATTCGAGAAGTTATAAATTATATACAGAACAAATTTCAGTCTGTGTATACACCACGGCAGCAATTATCATTAGACGAAGGCATTATACCTTGGCGGGGTAGATTACACTGTCCGACAAAATCGAATTTTTTTTCTGGGTTGCTGTAGCCACTATGAAATTCTTGTAGAGCTTCATTCTCTGAACAAGAATCCGAAAACCGAATTGCTCCATCACCCTCAGTTTTTTAAATAAACGAACTTTTGTAAAAACCCTAAATTTTCGACAAAAATGAGGTATTGCATGAAAAGTACAAACGTTAGAAAGTTCTAATTGATGTTAAAAGATAGAGGAGAGTTTTCCGAATATAGTGGCATGCATTTTATTAATTGTTTTTGGTACTAAATAGCAATAAATTTATGTCAAAGTTTAAAAAAGTGTCGACGTGAGCAGTTTCTGCGCAATATTTTTGTATTTTTACGAAAAGTTTTCTGTAGACATTTCTGAAGAAGAAACGGCCCGGTAAAAGTGTCGGAACGATATACATTTCGAGTAGATCGAGAAAATGTTCGACGGCAACATGTACACGACGTTTTGCCGCCATGAGCTTCGCTGCTCGCTTCTCTCTGTCCGACAGGACCGAAGCTACGCGTAATCAACACCGATGGAGGGATCCAATGGGGCACCCACTTAGCGTGTGGGGCGTGCCATTTTTTTTAGTACTTCAATGTGCTGTTTTNTTACTGTCCTTAATTTTCTGACTCTATTACCTATACTTTTCGAATAACCATTAAAAAATAATTATTATAAACTTTTAAATTCGAATTTTGTATAAGCAATATGTGAAATCGTTGAACGAAATTGTTACCGTAAGATATAATTGATCACATAAATAATTTTCGGACGTCTTTGATTTCAAATAGCGAATTTCAGTCCGTGCTACCTCAGAAAAATGCGCGGTGGAAACTGTACAGGTCTCTGTGGCGCGTGCGGTCGGCTAAGTGTTAAAGAAGTGCAAAACTTACGATACCTGAATTTTGACACTACTGTCTATGTGATAGCGGCCGGCGGATGCCACCGAGACATTTTGACCGAGGATCAATAAGATGATGTCGGATAATAAAAAAAAACAATGTCTCAACAAATGATAAAACACTTTATTATCATTCAGAAATCTGTCCCATCCACCAATGGCAGCAGGCTACAATCAAATTCAAAAGTCACACCGTACAAAAGTCAATGACAGAGAGCTGTGTCTCTTGGTAGACACCCATTATCAATCTCCTAATCGCAAGATGTCCATCAGAAAGCTCAACGTGTTTCAGGCCTAACCTCTAAACTGACAATGCACACACGAAAATGTCTTCGTCAATGTTCTGCCCTCGAAGCAATCTTCTAAACATCCTGTTAGTTCTCCGCTTGCATGAACGATTAATCAATTCAAAATTGATTAAAACACTGCGCACAGTAGTCAAAGTCTATTAACTACACAACCGTGCACAAACTGGCACCATTGTAAACAGAAACATTTATATACACGATCCTGTACATATATAGTATACGACCCTATACATATACACGAATATATATACACGATCTTATTCTATAACAGTTCATTCACTATCTTCCAAAACATGTCAGATTCACCTAGAGCTTCACCCTCTCTGCTCCTCGTTTCAACCAGTACTCCTTGATCATGTCAGACCCCTTCTCGGCAATCATTATAGTCGGCGCATTAGTGTTTCCACTGACCAGGTTCGGCATAATGGATGCGTCGATGACCCGCAGTCCGCTGACCCCGTAGACCCTCAATTGGGGGTCGACGACAGCCTCGGGGTCCCAGTATGGTCCCATCTTGCAGGTGCCGACAGGGTGGTAGATGGTCGCCGAATACTGCCTGATCATGCACTCCCAGTAGGGATCACTGTACATGGGCAGGTGTCTGCAGCCAAGGAAGCTTTTCGAGTTGAGCTCGCTGCCAAACCTCCTGAAGGCAGCGGTTCTGCTAAGGGCGACGCCTATTTTCACACCTTCGACCAAAGTAGCCACGTCTTCTGGCTCTTTGAAATAGTTGGGATAAATCAGAGGATGATCGAACGGATTTTTGCTGCGGAGCTTGATGTAGCCCTTGCTCTTGGGTCGCAGAAGCATGGGCAGCACGCTCCAGACGTCCTTGTCGCTTATGGGACCGAAGACGGCGTCGTAGAACCGCTTCGTGAGTCCGTGAATCTTCCTGATGTGTCTTCCTCCATCGGAATTAGTCGATCCTGATATGAAGTGCAGCTCGATGTCGGGGAAGTCGTCGGAGGCGTTCACGTACTTCGTGTTGACGAAAGCCAGACCTTCTACCCCGCCTAACACCGTTAGGGGACCGTCGCCGAGGACTGCGTACTGCATCACTGCTTGAACGCTGTACAGTCGCTTCTCCACCATGGAGATTGGCTGGTTTACCATGAATGTTAGTCCTCCCAGGCCTACGTGGTCTTGGAGGTTGTGGCCGACCTTGAGGTTCTGGATCACTGGAATGCCGTGTTGCATCAGTTCTTCTCTGGGACCTATACCTGACAAGGGAAATCGGATTTTAGTTTTTCGTGGAATTATCGTTTTGAAGAGAAACGAGACGAGGGGGAGACGAAAGGGAACTTTTCGTATAGCCTTACCGACGACAGCCTCAGTGACGTGTCACCTACTGACGTAACAGCCTTACTGACGTATCTCCTAGCAGGCCAAGACCAGTAATCTTATCTAGTAGGTCTAGAACCACTAATGCTATCTGTCAAGCCCTGAACTAGTAAAGCTGTCTAGCAGATTTAAGACTAATGTTATCTCGTAGACCCAAGATCAGTAAAACTATCTGGTAGGTACAAATCATTGTCTAGTAGGCCTAAAACCAATAATGACATCTAGATGCCCAAGACCTGTTAGATTATCTAGTAGATCCAGGGTCTCTACGACTATCTAAAAAGTCCTAAACCAATGAGACCAGTTAGGTACCTAGTAAGTTCGAGACCATTACACCTATCTAGCAGACCTAAATCAATATTAGTCTTTTCAAAATCAATTGGTGTATCTAGCAGGCCCAAGACGAGTTAGGTTGTATAGTACGTCCAGGATTACTGGGACTATCTAGCAGGTCTATAATTAGTAAGGCTATCTATCAAATCCAGAACAACTAAAGTTATCTGGCAGGTCCAGAACTACCGAGGCTATCTAGCAGATCTTGCCTTAGACGCAAGGATGTTACAAGAACCTTTGAGAACAGTATCGAGTGAGTCCCAAGATTATTAGCACAAATGTACCATAGAAATTATCTCGCACTACATTATCGAAAACTGGTGTACTGAAAGTATTACTAAAGTCATAAGAATCGCAGGGAACGGTGGAAGACTGAATCTCATCTTTACCTGAAAGCATCAGCAGCTGGGGAGAGTTCACCGATCCCGCGGACACGATGACTTCCTTTTTGGCCCTTATCCGAAACACCTTTTCGTTTCTGACGAACTCTACACCGTAGGTCCTTTTGGACTTAGGGTCGATCAAGATCTTGGTCACGTGGGAGTACATGGCAACGTGCAGGTTCTTGCGCAGCCTGGCTGGCCTTAGGAACGCCTTCGCAGTCGAGCATCGACTTCCTCTTCTGATGGTTCCCTGAGCGATCATGAACCCAGTTTGATGCTCGCCGTTTATGTCCCTGTTCTCGTATCCCATTTCCTGGCCAGCCTGCACAAAGGCTGCAGCTAGAGGTGTGTGCCATGGTGATTCCTGCACCGTCAGGTACCCTCCGGTCGAATGGTACGGCGTCTGCGTCAGGTACGGGTTCTGGTTGTCCTCGGACTTCTTAAAGTAATAGAGTACGTCCCTGGATCCCCAGCCTGGGTTCCCCTGTTGCTCCCAGATGTCATAGTCTTTCTTGTTGCCGCGCAGGTAGAGCATGTAGTTCAGGACGCTGCTGCCGCCGACCACTTTGCCGCGGGGCCAATTGCAGCGTCCACCTTCCATTGCTGAGGAACAGATTTAAATAGGTTAGTCGAAGCTGAAATTCGGAAGCTATTGCTACTACAGGGTGTTAAAATATTTTGATGGGTAACGTTTCTAATTTGACACCAAGTTGAACTTGATCTTGAAAATTTCAAGGTCAAAACTCGAAAACTGTTTTTCATTGTATCATATTCTACTCATCACGTAGGCTAAATTTGGAAATTTTACGTAAATTTCTGTAAATAAATTATGTGATTCATGTAAATTTAATCGAAGTTACGATTTCAAGGTGATGCCAAGGTCAGGGTCGATTTTGTTACAAGTTACTTATGTCAATGTCCACCACGCCGAGGTAATAAAATTACGTTACGATGGGCCTGACAAATAATCTCGCGATGACCCATAAAACTTCTGATAAAATCGTTATAATAATTCATACACGGAATCCCATAATTTCCGTTATACCTGGAAAAGGATGATTCGTCAGGTAATTTGAAAAAACTTTCTCCTCAGTGAAAATGTTAAAAGTGGCTTCGTTTACGAATTATTAACGTAAACTACAGACCAATCGAAACGAGTGGGGCCGGTGCTTCGCCCTCGCGACAATTACTGTGTCACGCTAGCTATCAGGAGGGCGTGGCATCAGCTGTGCTCCTTCTGATTGGTCCGGGATTTTCGTTAATAACTCGTTAACGAAGCTACGGAGAACATTCTCGCAAAGGAAAAAGTTCCTTCAAATCGCCTCAGGATTCTGTATGTCAAATTAGTCCTGATACATCCTGCATATTTTATGTAAATGTTTTTCCTTAACGACGAAGGCGAATGACAAAATTCGTCATATATTAGGAAAATGTTAATATAAACTGAAATATGCTTGTTTCTTTTATGATCTACGCTATGAGAATATATTGACTTTTTGTTTTAAAGAATCTATCATTCTCAAACGTTGTGGAAATTTAGTTAGCATACTCTAGTAATTTGTTGTTTTATTAGTACCTTTCTTTTTTAAATTTCGTTAACCCTTCTCACTTGTCGAGTATGACAAATTTATGGAGCATTAGAAATTCTATCGTACTAATTCAGAATTAAATTGGCATGGCAGAGCTAGGTTTTACAATTCGAAATAAATTACTGACCTAGACAGGAACCTTCATCAGGTTCCGTCTTGTATTGCCAGTCGAGTTTGCTGAGTTGCAAATAGCCAGCAAGAAGAGGAACATCTGAGATTTCGGTTTCGTCGCCCCCAGCTTCCAGGAGAAGAACATTCCAGTTTTCTATCTCGGAAAGTCGACTTGCTACGACAGCTCCTGCAACGGAAGTTTATAAAAGACATAAAACAACGATATAGTAACTGTAATAATATGATACTTGTATTAACAAGTATTGTATTGTTGTATTAACAAGTATAGTTGTATTATTAAATACAACTGGCTTTTTAGCTTTACTGATTAAGAATTTTCAAAGACAAACAACAACAATCTAAAAAATATTTGGTCAAATTTGTTTATTCTTGCACCAAACAATTTAATGAAGATACTAATCCTTTTAAATAAAATTGCATACTTGTTGATGCTGATCGATTTCTTGAAGAAAAACTTATTAAGATGTAACGCTAAAGAAATTAACTAATAGTGTGATATTGCAAACAAATTGTTCAAGAAGGTTAAGATTAATAGAAATAAAATATTAATGAAATCAAATACTATTATAATAAAAATGCTGCAAGAGGTGAATTAAGGTTGCAATACAAATAAAATATTAATACAGATACAAACAAAAATGCATAAATACAGTAATGAAAGATCAAATACTAATATAAATGCCTCAAAGTAGTAATAAAAATAAAATACTAATATAAATGTCTCGAAGTAGTAATAAAAATAAAATACTAATATAAATGTCTCGAAGTAGTAGTAGAAAAATAAAATACTAATAACAATGTATACCTGAAGAACCAGATCCTATGACAATAAAATCGTAAGATGGCAGGAGCACTTCTGAAGGTATATTAATTGGTGGGGCTTCATTGTCTAAAACTTCGTATTGGAAGTACACGAGCACTGCAGCCAGCACCGGAAGAAACCACGAGAGACCGGTGGTAGCCGAGGTCAAACCGCCCGCCAACACGCTCTCGATTCCCATTTTCTATTCCTATACTTTCTTCTATCGGTCTTCTGTAATAATACATCGATGGAATTATAAATAAACCCATTCGTTAAACGATGCAACAGCCATCCGAACTTTTATTCCTCGAACGCACACACCTAAAACCGTGGCGTTATTTACAACGCTTCAAGTTACCATCTTGTAAATTTCTTATAAATGTATCGCTCGACTTAAATTTATTAATTCGTCGTCTGATAAATTTCATTTGAAAAGAAGGAGCGAAATTTTCAGCTTCAAGAATTTTTCTTTAAACGTTTCTTATCTCTCTCTTTCTTAAATATTTACCTGAAGCTCCGTAAAAACTATCAAAATTCAATCGAATCGTCAACTTCAAGTATCTGTTGTGGTGTAACAATGAAAGTTATCCAAATATTTTTTATGTAAACAAATTGGACTTTCCTAAATGCAACAGTATATTTTCTTCAAAGGATAACCGTGTTTAAACAATAAAGATATCTTATCTACTCAGCTTCTGCTTTAATCCCAGAACAAAGCTAATTGAAAAGAGAACCCATGCTATGTATTTGTGAATTAAAATAAAAATTCGATATTATTAAAACGACCTCAAGAATGTTCTGGAAACCTCTCGACACCCTAGTCGAGTACCGTCCTGGTCGAAGTGTCCTTGCGAACTGTCGAATCGTAACGTCCCCGTGCTCGGGTAGAAATCGGTCGAAGAAACGTTAAAGAGGGTAATACGCGGTGTCGGACGTATACGCGACGAATATCAATGACCCTTGAAACTTTCAGCTGTTAAGTAATTTTCGATGAACGCAGGCAACTTGCCCGCGACGATCCGCACGTACGCATTGAATTATGATGATCATGATTATGGATGATCCCTGGGATCATCCCAAGGATTATGTCGTATATACATTTATACGACATTCACAGCGGCAATGATGTATATATACGGATTATGAAATTCCTTGTACAGGATGTTCCACAATTATTTTAACAGCCGAAAATGAGGGGTAACTGAGGTCATTTGAAGTAACTTTTTCCTTTGCGAAAATGCAATCTGCGGCTTTGTTTACGAGTTATTAACGGAAAACACTGACCAATGAGAGGCGACGGCGCGAAGTTCGAGAGCCCGCAGCACGAGGATTTGACAGATAGTCGGGACGGACCCGAGCCGCGTTCGAAGTATTGAACAAATCACGAAGCGAGGACTTTCGGATTTTTTTTTACTACGTAACAGTGATATTTTTAAGAAAAACGCTGTTCACCTTTACTTTAGAACGTCTGAAGAATATTTACTAATTTTTCGGACCCGAAATAGTAAGTAATTTAACCGTGACGGCCGTTTTAATTTTCTAGTGTGCATGACACCTTGTGTGTAACATATGAAATTTTTAAGCAAGGTGTACAGTGAAGATTAACAAAGTACGTAAATGATATTTTAATTTAAATAATTCCGTGTCCGAACACAGTTCAACGAATGATTCGCAAAGCTAATTTAATAAATAATAATCGTGTTAAAGGACGTAAGGGATATGTTTGTTAGAGAAATATGAAGAATATTATCAATAAGAAACTCACCCATTTAGTTGTAAAATCCACTTCATGTATCCGACGGCGACGAACAGAAGGATGTCTCCGGGCAGGCAATTTCAACGTTTACTTTCACTGCATTATTACTAAACACTGATCACTTATCAATAATATTTATGGACCAACTTTCCTGGGTTAATATGTATAGCTCTGAAAAGAGCCGATTTTTTTATGCGACGCGTTCGAAGTTCTCACTGTTATCGACACGTATGTACCGCGTTGTCGAGATGAACTGCAGAAGACTGGCACGATGGCCGACTGTGTTTCGTTCTCCTACGAGCGAATTTCAACTGTTTTCCATCGAACGCGAACATTGTCAGCCATCGTGCTAGTCTTCCGCAGTTTATCCCGTCAACGCGGTATGTGTTCTTAACGATATGAACTTCGAACGCGTCGCATAAAACAATCGGCTCTTTTCAGGGCCATACATATTAACCCAGGAAAGTTGGTCCATAAATATTATTGATAAGTGATCAGTGTTTAGTGATAATGCAGTGAAAGTAAACGTTGAAATTGCCTGCCCGGAGATATCCTTCTGTTCGTCGCCGTCGGATACAGATCAGCTGTGCAGTTCATCATACATTGTACGAGGTCAATGCACTATCCTCCTGCACACATTTCCGTGCATGAAGTGGATTTTACAACTAAATGGGTGAGTTTCTTATTGATAATATTCTTCATATTTCTCTAACAAACATATCCCTTACGTCCTTTAACACGATTATTATTTATTAAATTAGCTTTGCGAATCATTCGTTGAACTGTGTTCGGACACGGAATTATTTAAATTAAAATATCATTTACGTACTTTGTTAATCTTGACTGTACACCTTGCTTAAAAATTTCATATGTTACACACAAGGTGTAACATATACGGGTTCGAAAAATTAGTAAATATTCTTCAGACGTTCTAAAGTAAAGGTGATCAGCGTTTTTCTTAAAAATATGACTGTTACGTAGTAAAAAAAAATCCGGAAGTTCTCGCTTCGTGATTTGTTCGATACTTCGAACGCGGCTCGAGTCCGTCCCGACCATCTGTCAAAGCCTCGTGCTGCGGGCTCTCGAACTTCGCGCCGTCGCCTCTCATTGGTCAGTGTTTTCTGTTAATAACTCGTAAACAAAGCCGCAGATTGCATTTTCGCAGAGGCAAAAGTTACTTCAAATGACCTCAGCTACCCCTCATTTTCGGCTGTTAAAATAATTGTGGAACACCCTGTATATCTCGATGTTCATGTTAGATCTGTTCATTTGTAATTTTTTTCCGTAGTGGCTGTGACGTACGGGCCAGTTTCGTATAGTATTTGTGACGTGTATATACGCTGTTGCATTTCTGACCCCCCTCCCCCCCCATACATTTTATTCTATTTATAACTTTATATTTTAATGAAGTCATGTTCAATCCATTCAATTTTCAATTGTGGCGATTTTTTAATAAATTTTTAATTAATGCAATTTTATTTATCTAATGTTTAACCACGTCAGTTCATCAAAAGGATGATTCTTACGGTGATTTCAAGTAATTTTTTTTCTTTGCGAAAATGTTATACGCGGCTTCGTTGACGAGTTTGTAAAGAAAAACACGGACCAATCACAGTTACTTCAAGTACCACTTTATCAAGCTACTTCAAATGACCACAGCAATCACCGCTTTCTGGGTGTTAAAATAATTATAGGACAGCCTGTGTATGTTCAATTAAATATAATACATGAATCAGGCAGTACTGGAATTGAGTGTTTTCGAATAATTAGCATTCGAAGCTTATTTCTGTTTAGTTGTCCATCGGTCTTGGAACTTGGAAATTTAATATTTCTATCTTACGATTATATTTTTGTTTGTAAATCTTGCCAACTAATAGGTATTATTATTTATTCTATTATTGAGTCCATATACGGAATACATCATTGGAAGAAAATGGAACATGAGCATAAAAAGCTGGGTATAAATATATGATTTCAGTTAGAAATTATTTTTTACCCCTTTCGAGTGCTTTCTGCCCCACAATTTATTCAATTACAATGATAATATTATATTTAATTTAATCAATTATGTTTATCCAAAATTAACTGATTTCTTTTGGATTATTTAATTTAACTTATCCATCGTAATTTTTCCTATACCATTTATGATAGAAATTTCAATATTAAAATGGAGATGATTTTACATAAACTAATTCTATAAACTTCGATTGAATTGAATGAATTGTATTGTTGTAAAAACGATAAGTCTCGCTGAAATTAAATATATTTCATTAAAACGGACCTACAACAATCATTCTTTGAATAATATAAACTTCTTAGAGTTTGAGCTTATGGGGAAGTTTGAGGAGGAGATTGAGTTTATTAAGGGGAGTTTGAGTTTATTTGGTATAAGTCATTGAATTTCTCTCTCTCTCTCTCTCTCTCTCTCTCTCTCTCTCTCTCTCTCTCTCTCTCTCTCCCTCTCTCTCTTTNTCTCTCTCTCTCTCTCTCTCCCTCTCACTCTATGATTATGTGGTTAGGCTCGAACCGTTAGAGTCTCGAAGGTAAATGTTGAAAAATGAGCACCGCAATAAATTTAGGCTGATGTAGTTTCCGTTCTATTCGTCATCGGGGTTACAACCACAATGTAGCTCGTAGTTATTGGCATTGAAATGCAAGTCTGTACTGGTCATGTATAAATTTTCTTATCACAATATAATTTACATTTCGTGTGACCGTAATTAGTCATCGTTACTGTCATTTTTTTCCAGCTACAAGTATTCAGTTTTATTTATTTATTTCGACTTACGGTTTATTAACGCTAGATTTACGGAGCACAAAAAACAACTGTCTTATATTAGTTTATAAAAGTAACAATAAGACATTTATTCTGATTTTTAACAGGTGTTATTGTAACATTTGCCGTAAATAACATATAATTTGAATAAATATGCAATATTGTTTTATTTAGCACAAATTTTCAGCAAAAAAGAAGAATAATAAAAATAAAATAAGATACAACCTAAATACAAAATACAAAAATAAAATGAAAACACAAAATTAGATAATTATAGAAAAATAAAAGTTAATTATTAATATTTCAAAAAAAATAAATTATTTTCGTTGACCTAATAGAAATTTTTATTCTGTTTGAAGAAGGCTTACTACTTCCAAGAATCTGTGTTACATGTTTTTTAACTTTTGTCGGTAAGTGTANCCTAAATACAAAATACAAAAATAAAATGAAAACACAAAATTAGATAATTATAGAAAAATAAAAGTTAATTATTAATATTTCAAAAAAAATAAATTATTTTCGTTGACCTAATAGAAATTTTTATTCTGTTTGAAGAAGGCTTACTACTTCCAAGAATCTGTGTTACATGTTTTTTAACTTTTGTCGGTAAGTGTA